AATTCCATTAATTACAAGCTAGTGAGAAAGCAGTCCAGAGCAGTGACGGCAATTCACAGCTAGCATTTGGCAATATTGCCAAGCCCAGGAGCTTAGGAACAAAAAGGAAGAGATGCCAGCAAGATAACTCCATGAGACTTATCACACCTGTGTTGGCACATTGGATCCTTAGCCTCTGGTGCCCAGAAACCCTCCAGACTTTCCAAAGCATAGCCCCTCCACTTCATTTTCCTCACCACCAACCCTAATACAGTCTTGTGCAGAAGACTATTGTCAGTAGTTTCTTGCCCTTTTCCACATACCTGGAAATACTGATCTGCTCCCTTGGGATCTCAGCACAAACTGAGCTCACCAAACTCAGTCCCTTCCCTCCACCTCCTTCCTGTGTCTTTTATAACACTCAGCTGATGGGTAATTGGTTCATCTGTCCCCATACTGGTCACATTCCCCAGTAAGCCTTCTCCAGAAGTAGTAATTGGTGCCTATGGGTTCATCTACACAGCAAAGGGTTAAAAAAAAAAAAAAAACACCACACACCCACAAAGTCACCTTTAGTCCATGCCAGCAGATTCAGACTCATGAGGCTCAGACAGAAAGGCCATTTCACTGCTGCGTAGACTTCTGGGCTCTGGCTAAAGTCCAAGTTCTGGGACCCTCTCACCCTGCGCTGTACTAGAGCCCAAGGCTCCCACCTGAACTTGGAAGTCTGCAAAGCAGTCAAACAGTCCCAGAGCCATGCAAGCCTGAGTTGGCTGGTACAGGCCAGCCATGGCTGCTTCTTTGCTGTACAGACCCAGCGTAGGCCAAGGCTCGCCCCCAGACCATTCCCCGCACAGATGCCCTTCCCACATGTACATTTCTGCCCCATCAGCAACATGTCCTGAGCACAGAAGAAAATGTGAAGGGAGGTGTTCTGCTCACAGCCTGCCAATTGAGGAGCATGGCTTCAGACACTGGTAAATCGCTGTCCTCTGATGGGAGACAGACCACCTCAAGAGCATGGCTTTCCGGACCCAACGTGAGACAGCGGGCAACCCAGCTCTCTTTGAAGTGGATCACGCCTGCCAACAGGATACAGCATGTGTCCTAGAATTGTAATAGTACAGTCGATTAACAGAACTTTAGGGTAATGCTATAGACTACACACATTTCCCTCCCACCCCCGACCCTTATCAGTAAGTTTTTTTAGCAGGCCGGCCAGAAGCCCAGCTAACAGCCTGGGAGCTGCAGTCCCCTTGTAATTATACTGTAAGGCTCCTCACAGTAGTAGTGTAACACCTGGCAGCGTTTCCATGGTGGGGCTCTTATGGAAGAGTCTCAAAGTCTGAAGCATTAGTTATCAGGCAAAATGCAGCAGGCTTCTTTGCAGAAATATTCAAGAGGCTGTCCTGCATGCACCTTAGCTTCACCCTTAAGTGGTAAAGAGAATCCTGCCCCTAACGTCAGAGTGCTGTGGTGCTTAGCCGCACCATCTATGGCCTGTCACTAGACACATGTGAGCAGGTCATGTCCTTTTCATTTGCTTTTATGTACACAGTCACAGGCAGCCAGGGCATTGCCAAGAGGCTTCAATCAATGAAGACAAGAAGTCACCGGGGGGGGGAAAGACAACAACAAGGCGGAAAAGGGCACTTAAAAGGGAAAGATTTTCAGAGGTGTAAATAGAAGTTTGTCAGTAAGTCATGAGTGTCCATCAATGGAGATCTAGATACCTACCTGCACTTTGCCTTTAGAACTACTTAGAGGAGATTTCCCAATGCTCATCGAAAACATCCACGTATCAACGGAACAGGACACATGCTCCTAAGAAGGAGGCTCATTTCATACAACACTTTGGTTAAGGGACAGGATCACACAAACCACAGAGCTAGATTCATCCTTTGTGAAATTCATCTACTTCAGAAAAACAACAATCAGGATGAAAAACTGGTCCTGAAATGTTTTGGAAGAGTTGATGCTTTGGAAAGGAGAGCTTTTCAACTGTGGTTTGGGAGAAAAAGTCATTCCCTTTCCAAGGGATTATGTGCCACTTAACATGGATCATTTCTCTTCATGGGTGTTTGTTTCAGCTCTAATGTGTATATGCATCTGTGTGCCTGTACCAAACTGTGTTAAATAATTATTTTCAGCAGAATTGCTTGGCTTTTAAGAGGAAAAATAAGCCCACAATCTTCCATGGAAATCATGACAGATCTTTCAGGCATTTCGACACATCCTGCACCCATTCACCACACTGAACAAATACACAAATAAAGCCTTGTCAGTCAGAATAGTCTGCCGCTCCAGAACTTTTTTTTAAATGATGTTAGCAAGCATAAGCCTTCAAGCTTTGTTTTAATTAGCAATAATGGAGGGCAACGTTCATGCCAAAGGAACTATTTAGCCTTGTTGTAGAAGCAGCTGTGTTTAAGATTTTTAAAAGGAGTCAGTTGAAACCTTTTTAGGAAATTTCTCTCTGAAATTATTACTATGTAGTTATTTTACCTGTCTTAAATCAGGAAAGGAAAAGTCTGGTAGTACTTCTGCTCAAAGCCTCTTGGCTTAAATCAAGGTCTACCTCAGCTGCAGTCTCAAAAGCTAAAGCAATTAATAGAACCAGAGCACTGAAAAAGGCAGCCATGCATTTTTTAATACCCAGGTTCAGACATTGAGCACCTGATTTTCTGACAAGCCAAGAACCCACAACTCCAGCTGAGTTAATGGGAACTGCAGAAGTTCAGAAACTTGGGGGGAGAGAGGGGGAGAAAGAGCAGGGAAGAGGAGAGATGAAAGACAGGCCCAAGAGATCCTAAGTTGCCCACTCAAAACGTCAGGGGGAGAAAGAGCAGGGAAGAGGAGAGATGAAAGACAGGCCCAAGAGATCCTAAGTTGCCCACTCAAAACGTCAGTGACCTGACCATTCAAAAGTGTTGGGTCTCACAAATTAATCATCTGTGACTTAAGGAACAACATTATCAAGATCTATTGAGAAGAGACTCCAGCCAGCAGGAGCACAGGGTTCCATACCTTTCTAGAAAGGATAAGCACATTGAAGGAGAAATCCTCCATGGCTATAACTAACTTCAACCAGAACAGTATTAGATCTAAAAAGGATGTGGTATGTCAGGGTGGGATCAGTGAATGGGAGGCAGGAGATGGGGGAGGGGGTCCACTGGGATGCAACTCTACTCAGCTGTCTTAATTCTCTATTGTTGTATGTATGGTGGCCTAGAGAACCATACACAGCTGATGTAGGCTTCAAGTGGTCCCTAGGCTACTCTTGTTTAGTAGGATTGGCCAGCTACAGTTTCAGAACTGGCACCTGTAACCATCTCCATCTTGCCTCCCACACTTGCATAAAGTGGATCTCAGTACAGAAGAGACACTTGCCCTACAGTTTGTAGCCAGTTACTGACATGCTGACTCTAAATATGGTTTGTGTCTGCCAACACTGGTTAAAAGTTATGCAGCAATTGTGCTCAGACAATGGTAGATGGGCAAGGCTGGCACATACAGGAAAACACGCAACAGTCAGTGCACAAGACATCCATACCATCTGGCTGTGTCTACACTGCACCCCTTTTCAGGAAAAGGGATGCAGATTAGACACTTTAGAATAGGCAAATCCGCGGGGGATTTAAATACCCCCCGCGGCATTTGCATTAACATGGCTGCCGCTTTTTCCGGCTTGGGGATAAGCCGGAGAAAAGCGCCAGTCTAGACGTGATTCTCCGGAAAATAAACCCTTTTCCGGAGAATCACGTCTAGACTGGCGCTTTTCTCCGGCTTATCCCCAAGCCGGAAAAAGCGGCAGCCATGTTAATGCAAATGCCGCGGGGGGTATTTAAATCCCCCGCGGATTTGCCTATTCTAAAGTGTCTAGTCTGCATCCCTTTTCCGGAAAAGGGGGGCAGTGTAGACACAGCCTCTGAGTATAAAGGGTTCAGCAATCTTCACAGCTCTGATATAGGACATTCCAGAATACACTGCCTGCTAGATATGTGAATGGTTAACCAGTTAAGTATTACCGTTAATGGGTGATGCTACCAGTTATCGTTAACTGGCAAGGGCTAGAGCAACCTCTCACCTCCTGTGGAGAGGGGAGGGACACCTCAGTCTAGCCAGGAAAAAGCAGCTTCTATGCCTCTGTTTTATGTTTAACTAGTTAACTAATTAAAATGGGATTTTACATCTCTACTGCCTGCTCTCTTGATACCACTCTAGGCATCTCTCTCTGCAAAACGTGTAGAGAACAATACCCACCTAGACTGTGCCAGAAAGAAAACTATGTTAGACAGTTCAATAGGTGCAGATGCACAAATAGAAGAATCAGCTGTCTTGTATCTACTTTCATCTTGCTGAAGCGACTGTACAGCCACCACGTTACAAAACTGTGGTTAAAAAAGTCACACTGTAGACAGGACCTACATTTGTAACTGAAGAACTGGAAGGTGAATTGCACTAAATTTGGACCCATAGGTGCATAAGAAGGCCTAACCTAAAAACTGACACCGGCTTGTTCTAAACTCATACTTTCTCAGCCCACAGAGGAATCAGTCCAGTTTGTGTGCATAGGTTTGCTATCTGCTCACTGGGAAATGAAAGTATGTCTAGAATGATAAATATTTTAACAAGCATCTACTTGGCATAGCATGGAATGAAATTGAATGAATGAATCATTGCAGTGAAATAGGGACCAGTGAAGGGGGCCAAATGGTGTATATTAGCACCACTGCAGCTGAATGGATTTCTCTCTCTCTCTTCCCCTTTCCCCCCTCCCCCCAGGAGACCAACTTATTGTCCTTGGACACCAAAGATATTAAAGCTCTTCTATTTCCATAAAATAATGTCTTATGGATCAAGTTTTTCTTGTCATTGGTGTACTGTTCCAACTATGGTGGGGAAAAAAGCTTATGTATTGAATGCAAAAAAGCAAAAGAAAGCATGGGATCAGCGTACAAGATAACTTTTTCTGTTTAAAAAGTTTACTAAACCAGAAAGACTATGAACAAGAGCTTTACCTTCCAGATGCTTGAGCAGCGCCCTAGTGCTGTTTCCATGAGCAGATATGAGAATCATTTTGCCACTTTTCAGTTCTGGTGCTATCTTTTCATTCCAATAGGGAAGAAGTCTCTCCAGCACTTCTTTTAAGCTTTCAGACTTCGGGAGTTTGTCCTGCGACACATCACAGCATTTATATCTGCGATCATTATAGATTTCTTTGTAGTAAGGATGAGATTCAGTTATGGGAGGTGGAGCAACATCATAGCTTCTTCTCCATATTTTCACTTGCTCTTCGCCATGGTTCAGAGCCATTTCTGCTCTGTTGAGACCTATCAGTGCACCATAGTGCCGTTCGTTTAGTCGCCACGAACTTTGGGTGGGAACCCATTCTTGCCCCATCTCTTCTAACACCAGCCAAGCAGTCTGAATAGAACGACTTAGAATTGATGTGAACACAAGGTCAAACTGAAAACCTAGTGTTTTGAGGTGTTTCCCACATCTCTGAGCTTCCTTTATCCCATCGTTGCTCAGCTTTTGATCCACCCAGCTGCAAAAGCGGTTCTCTTTGTTCCAGGCTCCTTCTCCATGTCTTAACAGAACAAGTTTGTATTTAGTCATTTTTATTCTGGTTTCACTCAGCTTATAGTGTCGTATTTAATGATGATCCATCTAGACAAAGAGACATGAAGTGAGTGTCACTAGAAAGTAACATTTAAGTTCTAAATACTGTAAATTCTCCTGCTGTCCTCTGTGCTGATTGCTAGCCTCTACATTCCCTTCCTCCCCAATATATAACAAGTGTCCATCACCTATCCCTAGAGCTAATTTCTTCTACTCAACTTATAATTGTTAGCCCACCAGGGTCATGTTGTTCCACTAATTTAAGCCACAGAGATGCAATTGGATCTGACATGCAGACTCCCCTCAAGTCCTTATATGGTGCAACCTTGCCTACATAGCTGATCTTGTTTAGCCACAGTTCTCCCCAGATAACTTCCATTTTGCCCTTCTATGTTCAGTTTCCTCCCATTCCTATATCTTTGTCTCCTTACACATTAAAAAAAAAAATTCCCCATCCCGCCCAGCCAGACACATTGCAGCTGAGCTCCTCCGAAGACCATTCTAAGATGCACATAACAGGTGAGCCAATTTTTAGAAAGGCCCTCAGAAGACCCTCTGATTATGCTTTTCTCTTGATTTTTCAAGTGAATCTCATTTCTTTATGGTCATGGATTAAACAACAAGATGTCCATGGCAGGGACCAAATATAGTCTTTTGACTTCTTGTACAGAAGAAGTCTCTCTCAAAAGTGGTCTGCAGACCCACCCTGAGAAAGCTGTTACCGGGCCGCTCCAGTTTGTTTACTTACCGGCTCTGCAGCCACGAAGACTCACAGCTCCCGTTGGCAGCTGTTTGCCATTTGCAGCCCAGGAGAGCCACAGGAAGCAGCGTGACCCGGGCCACTGCTCCCCTTGGTTGCAAATGGCGAACGGCAGACAATGGAAGCCATGAGGCTCTGTGGCTGCGGAGCTGGTAAGTAAACAAACTGGAGCGGCCTGGTACCAACTCTCTCAGAGTGGGTTTGCGGACCACTTGGAGAAACGCTGTGGTACAGCATCAAGCAAATTTTGCATGACTGATTTTTAAGATCCAGAGGCAAGCTGTTAGGCAAAAATGTTACAGAGTGGTCACATTTTTGCATGCACAGCTTGAGACTCCTGGTTTTCAGCAGTGCTGTGGATCTGCAACTCCCCTGAACACTGAATGGAATTCTGAGTACTCAGCCATTAAGTATCTCAAGTTGAAAACCCCAAAGTTCTCCAGCCATTTGCAATCTTACATGACAAATGGTGCAGGTCAGAGACCAGGCATCCCAAACAGCACAAAATACGTCCGCATAAGTCTTCATCAGCTGTTCAGAGGGGTTAAATAATCAAATGGAATCAGTGTTTTGACGCTGCTGACTGCAGTAGTGTCACAGTGAATCGTGTGCTAGAATTCTCAACTACTATCATTGAACAAGGTTGACAGGCATAACACAGTGGTACCATGCAACATTTCTTCCAGCTACAGTAAACTTCCGATAATCTGGCACCTTTGGGACCCAGGGGGTGCCGGATTATCAGATTTGCCGGACTATCAGAAGGGGGGGCTATGAGGGGCCTAGGGTGGGGTGGGGGGATGCCGCCCCAGACCCCTCATAGCCCCCCTTTCCAATAGTCCGGCTCTGCCTCAGGCATCCCTGATTCAGCCGCTGCCGATCAGTTTCAGCAGCGGCTGAATCGGGGGCGCCCGCCGCAGGGAAGGCCGG